CTTCTGCCGGGCTCAGCTGCGCCTCCGTATAGGTGGGAGCGGGCAGGGGCTGGGGGGAGGTAGCACGGGTGCAACGGAAAGCGCAATCTTTGCCCGATGCCTGACTATTGCAATAAACACCCCCTGCGCTGGCTCAGGGAAGCACTAGGAGGCCCAGCACCGTCTCAGTCCTCGGTCTAGTTTGGAAGGCGCGGCGAGCGGGTCGAGAGTGCCGCAGGGCTCGGGCAGAAACGCGAATGCGCCTCGTCCACGCCGGCTCCACTTCGCCACGCGCGAAGGACCCGCGTGTGAACGGGCCGGCTCGGCGCGCGCTGTTTTCTTCCCCGCGTGGACAGAAACCAGCGCGCTGTAGCAAGGCATCGCCCCGAGCAAGGCCATGGCTCCCGGGACACGAGGACCCCCCGGGCGGGCGGCCGTCCCTTTGCTTTCGCGGGCGTTGGTGGGTTTCGATGCCTCTTCTTGCCAAGAGGAGTCCTGCAAAGACCCAGCTGACGGCGCCGGGCTCTGATTTTTCTGCTGAGCCCTTGCAGCAGGTCACAGGATCGTCCCCTCCGCGCTGGCGCCCCAAAGCCGGGCCCCTTGGTGCTGGCGGCAGGCAGCCCATCCCTGGCTGGCGCGGGCAGGGGCGCCGCTCTGACCGAGTCAGCCTCTCCGGTGCAACCCTGCAGAGGCCCCGCGCACGTGCTCTGCAGCCCAGCCCCTTCCGCGTTGTTGACTGCGACGTTAGGTTTGTCCTGCCCCGGCCGCCGTCGCTGCGCCCTCGGCCCCTCCCCCTGCCGCCGGCCCTGCCCCTTTCGCGTTGTTGTTTACTGTGACGCGCGGTTTGTCCTGCGCCGGCGGCCGTCGCCCCCCCACCGCCACCTTCGTCGCGTGCGGCCATGGCGGAGCCGCCCGTGAGCGTCCAGGACGTGCAGAGCCTGGTGCGCAGGAAGGACGAGATCGAGGCGCAGATCCGGGCCTGCTACGAGCTCCTGGAGGACGTGAGTGTGCGCTGGGCCGCGTGCGCATGCGTGCACGTGTGTGCCTGAGTGTGTGGGGGGGGTGCCGTGTGCGTGTGTAGCAGGGGGTGCGTGCATGCGCGTGGGGTGGTTGTGTGTGTGTGCCTGAGTGTATAGCAGGGGCTTGTGTGCGCGTGTGTGTAGCGGTTGTGCATGTGACTGAGTGTAACGGGCGTGTGTCACGTGCCTGTGCTTGTGTCTGTGGGAGTGTGCCTGAGTGTGTGGCGGGAGCTCTGCACGTGTGCGTGTCTGCGTGGGGGCTGTGCGAGTGCCTGTGTCTCTGCGTGCGTGGGGGTGTCGGGGGCTCTCGGGCAGCGCGAGGGTGGGGGCGGCGGTGCCCTCGAGCACGCGCACAACCCGCTCCGGGGGCGGCGGGGAGGGGCTCCTCGTGGTGCTCCGATCCTGGGGCCGTGGATTTTAATGGGCTGAAACTGGGGCTTGCCGAGCGCCGCTGCCTCTGTCCCTCCCGAAACACGATGCTGGGGGGGCAGCGGGCACCGTGCGACCGTGTTTCTCCCTCGCAGCAGAAAGGAGTCGGGATGAACGAGCCGCTGGTGGATGTGGAAGGGTACCCGCGGGCAGACGTCGACCTGTACCAGGTCCGCACGGCACGGCACAACATTATCTGTAAGCAGCGCAGTCTTCACGGGGCTTTCTTGGGGAGTGATGCAGACCGCATGTTGCGAAAGCTTGGCTTATGTCGGTGTCCCCCGGTTCAACTGTGAATAGACTTAGTGACGTGCAGTGTCTGGAGACTTGGACCATGGGAAGGACACGATTCCCTAGAGCCCCAGCTTCAGTCGTTAGAGTGAAAAAGGTGGCAGCCCCCTGAGGAAGCAGGGCTTCGGGCCATGGTTTGCCCTTTGCATTTAGCTCGATTTGGAGTGTAAAGAAAAGGCGAGGGAGTCGTTCGAGTTTTGTTTGTAAGCAGGTTTGCTCCCTGCCTGGAACTAGGGGGCAGGGAATGAGTCGGTGAGTGACACTGTTTGCATTAACAGGCAGTGTGCAGAGTGGTTAGGACGCTCCTCGTTCGGTGAACAAACCTTGTGTTTAATAAACAAAAATAATATAGTCAAATCTCTTATGCATACAACAAGCATGGGGCCGAAATGTGGAGAAGGTGATGTCTCCTTCGAATGAATCCTGGTGATGGATTTATAATGAATTGGTCCCTGTGTGAAAATACTTTGATGGAAAGGGAGTTTGGTTGCTTAATTTTTTTTACGTTGCTGTTGATCTCTCCAGCTCTCGTTCTCTTCTAAGGGCTTATCCACCTCTAGGCGTTCTTACCGCTGTCGTAACATGGCTGTCCCTGTGTGAGAGTGATGTTAATTCATAAGGAGCCCTGTTTGTGCACTCTGCGTGGCCACTGATTGACAGCTGTTTCATGGCCCTGCTCACAGTCTATATGCAGGGCAGTGTTCAGTGGTGATTGTGTTTATAATCTGGAGCTGCCCTGCCATAGTGGACCTGGTAGTGTACTGGGAAACATGGGCTGATTCCCACAGTGCAGGAACACTGTGTGCTCATTCCTCCCATCTCTGAGTCAGCCTCCCTCTGCCCAGGTCTGCAGAATGATCACAAGGCCGTGATGAGGCAGGTGGAAGAAGCGCTCCACCAGCTGCATGCACGGGAGAAGGAGAAGCGTGCCAGAGACGAGGCAGAGGCACAAGCCGAGGCAGTGAGTCAGAACCAGAGCCTGCCTCAACCCTTCGCCAGAGTGAATGCTGTCACGCCGGGATCTCCTGCCAGTCTTGCGGCAAGTCTGGTGTTCTTCCTGCCCAGGGAGCAAACGCCCGTGAACCCTGTTCTGTCCCAGAGATGGCAGGTGGTCCTTGCCACCCACCTGCAGTCAGAGCCAGGGTTTGAGCAACAGTTCTTCGTCCTACTTCTTGTTAGGTGCTTGGTACCTTTCCCCAGGGGCATAATGTTTCATGTCAGCCTTTGCAGAGTGAAATAACTTAGTTAACATTTATAGCACCTTGCAGGGGGGAGCATCCAGTTAGGGAAGTGCACATGGGGCTGGCATCAGAAGATGTGTACTGCTCCTAGCTGCACCACTGACATGCTGATGGCTTTGGATAAGGCCGCATTAAGGCTGTATGCCTCAGATTCCTTATCTGTGTGATGGGGATAAAAAATAATACTGCCTTATCTCGCTGTGGGTTTGTGAGGCTCACATGTTGAGAAGTGTCTTAAGACCCTTGAAGGGAGCACTGACTAGCGCTTTGGGTAAGAGATGTGCCACAAACCCTAAGCACCGTGTGTCCTTTGAGGAGGAAGTTTCTTAGTCTCCTGCTTTCTCTCTCTAAAGGGATTACAGGTCGACGATGAGATCGTTGAGTTTGGCTCTGTCAACGCGCACAACTTCCAGACTCTGCAGAACATCGCCACTGTTGTGCAGCACAGTGAAGGGGTGAGCAGGTTACTAGCTTCTCTGGTCTGATGGGCTTTTCTCTAGTGATACTTAATAGAGTTCATTAGTCTCGCATCTCTGCTTCAGATGCTGCGTGTCAGCTTCTGGGCTTGACTGTTGGTTTCATCACGTGCCACCCCCAGGCCCTTCATTGTGAGAGAGCTCACACGTAACTTCTCTTTCCTGGACTGGAGCTGGCAGTAATGTGAAGGCATCAGGCTTTGCTTCTAATGGAAGCTCCCCATGCTGAACATTTGAGATGTTCTCTTCAGAGGTCTTGTTTTTTGTTCTCACAGGAGCCTGTGCTGAATGATAGCATGTTACTTCACTAGTATTCATAGTTTCTAGTGTCGGAAGGGACCTGAGCAGATCATCTAGTCCGACCCCCTGCCATGGCAGGAAAGATTACTGGGGTCAAACAGCCCCAGCATGGACATGCTCTACTGAGGAAACTTGGCTCAGTGTAGCTGTGCGGTAGCTAGAGGTTCAGTGTTACATGTGCGGTAGCTCTCTGGCTCCTATGCAGCCAGGCAAACAAAAGAACTGAGCCAGCGTGATGGGAAAAGGTGCCATTCATCTGTCTGTTTGTTTCAGAAACCGCTGAGCGTGAGTGTGATCCGTGGAGGCGAGAAAGTTCACCTTGGGCTTACACCAAAGCGCTGGACAGGGAAAGGCCTCCTGGGGTAAGCTTCCCAGTACCTTCTGCAGCTTTGTCCATCTGCACTCATATGCAGTTGACCCTGCCTTACACTGGAGAATCCCACTGGGAATCTGAATGGAGCCTGGGCCTGCCTGCAAGCACTCCGGTCTTCCTGCTCTGTCCCAGATCGCTGTTCCCTGGGAATCCCCTTTGTGCTTCTCAGCTTGATGCTTAAAGCTAAGGGGACAGACTCCATGTGTTGCCCTTGGGATCTGGCGTGCTTCGGCTCCAGAATCTCATATGTGCCCTTATAGTTGAAAGTCAGATCAATTCCTGCCTTTTCTGAGTGCCTCCTCTCTCATTCTCAAGGGGGAATCTTATGATCTGTCCAGCTGGTTCTGTCACCGAGGCTGTGCAATCACAGGTGCATCCAAGTACAACACGCATGTGCCCAGCCACTTGATGGGGGGGGCGGAAAAATCATCACACTATGTAGATTGGCCCAAACTATGTTGTCATATTACTGGATCCTGTAACAGCTCTGGGTCTAATTCTTTTGCTGCAGGAACTGCTTATCACTTGTACCACATGTATGCGCAGAGGGCTTAGATCTTTTTCAGGGTGTAGCATGTTTCTTTCAACACTGTTATAACCAGGCTTTCCACTCCATGCAGGGAAAGTCGGATAGGCATGCAGCTATAGAGTATCTGTGCTGTGGAGCATAAAATGGTTGGCATTCTAGTCTAGCCAGGATCCTCCCTCTTCACAATATGGTATGCTTCTCCACTTAGCAGTGTGGATGGACATTTGCACAGGATGGGAGCCAGGTTCTCTTCAGCAAGGAGAGAACTAATACGGTAGAAACTGTTGGTCGCTCTCTGTTCTGTGTTCTAATCTCCTCCTTGGATTTGCTGCATACTTTGTGCTTCATTGAAGGGCACTCTAAAATCAGTTAATACTAACTCCTTAAAAGCTGGCTGTTCCTGTAGGGAGAGCTAAGGAGATGTGTGGGGGGTTTGGTTAACAGGAGGAGCAAAGTGGAGCTAAGCTCTTTACAGGGTAAGTTCAGAATTCTCTGCAGTGATGCAGGAAGCCTAATTTAGTTCTTCATTTTTTTTTTTTCCAGCTGCAATATTGTCCCATTGCAAAGATGACTGAGGCTTGGAAAACAGTAACCCTGAAGTTGCTTCTGCTTTATAAACTCTGATCTGGTTTGAAGAGTTCCCTTATGACGTGCATCATCTTGCTAAATCTAGAATGTTTGTGGTGGGCTCAGGGGCTTTGACTTCAAGTAATCAGATATACTGAACCTAAATAGGTTTCAGCACACCTGTGCACAGGCCATGCTAAGAAATTGTACCAACTTGTAGGGGATAGTTCATAGAATTAAAGGATTTCACTGACGCTCATGCAAATGCAGTGTGAGCTCAGATGCAGTCCAGGCTTCTCTTCAGTTAAACTTCCACAAATAATTCCATGGCCTTTACTGAGTATTGTGTTGTGTGTGATCACAAGAAAGTAGCTTTTGACAATAAAGATTTAAGCACTTTTTGTGATGATATATTCATTTTCAGTTCTTTCATATTTCTTCCTGGACAGGTGGTACTTTTTGTCAAATATGCGGCGATGTTACAAGAATCTCCTTGTAGTGTAATCTACTGTGTATTACAGCAAATTACCAAAACAGCCTCAAGAAATGTACGCATATGGTTTGAATTTTTTACATGTTACAAGTCATGTTTGAGGTCACTACATTGGAAAGAATTTTTAAAAATACCCAAGTATTTATTCTGTTTTAAGTGAGTGAGTGGAATAAGGAAAGTTGGTATTCATGTGTTTTTGTGTCCATATATTTTTCATGGTTTGGACTATGATAATCATAGCCTCATTTTCTATTCTCCAATTTTTCAACTTGTAAACGCTTTCCAGGTTGTTTTTTTTTTATTTTTTTTGGTTTGTTTTAAACTTGTTTCCATTTGGATTTTTAAAACGCGAATAGAATTTTTTACCTGATTTCATTACAACTATCATACTTTTTGGAAAAAAGTTATTTTCATGAATGCTTGATTTTTTTTTTTTTTTTTTTTTTTTTTTTTTTATATTTAAATAGATATATAATTTTTTTTTTTTTTTTTTTTTTTTTTTTTTTTTGAGGGGGGGTCCAGGTGTACAAAGACAGTCCCTCTAAAGAACCAGCCAGAACCAGCTTGGTTTTAGTATTGAAAGATCAGGTTTTTTGTTCAGGGTCCATAGGCTGTAAAGGTTTAATAAATTATTTATGTTATAACCACACTCAACATATACTATTCCTGTCTGTTTTACGTGGTTCGAAACGCCTCCATGGAAGATTTTATAAGCCAGGGCAATTAGCAACTTCTTGATCTGTTTGAACTCTGAAACAAAAACACTGATGAATGTATCGGATTAAATATTTATGAATCCTTTGTAAGTGGGATCTTCATTGAAGTGTGACTGTGGCTTTTATTCAGGAAATATTTGTGTTACCGCTGTGTAAACCAGTTTGTGGCTGGATAGTAAACTTTTCAAGAAAGGTTGATTGCTTTATAGCGCTACTTCTAGGAAGTAGAGAGAGGTTTTGGAGGCAGTTGCCTGATGTGGATATACTGACACCTAATCTTATACTGGTCTACACCCCATCTAGCTCTCTTGCCTTCTTTTGGGTTGGTCTGAAGTAGCTAAGGTCTGGTGATTAGGCTCGACCTCTTTTCTTGGAAAATGAATGTGAAAATGAGGTTTTCAAGTTTGACCCGTGGTGCACAAATACTGTGTTTGTCAATGTTTGATTGCAGGAAATGACACGCTCATACTAGGGGAAATGCTGAGCTGTAACCTGCCAGGACTGAACCCATAGCTTTGACCAGTTAAAGGGGTCCCTTTGTTAAAATGTATTGCTGAATCTCCTTGCCAGCAAAAGGAACACAGTGAACTCTTTCCTGGTCACGCATAATGTAGTCGAAAAGCTGAAACCAGCACTAGTTGTCCAAACAATTTTGGAGTGGGGAATAAAACAGCCAAATGAGCAAACACAAGTATAGGGGCTTAATGCTGAGAAGAGGATTCTTCCTCTGTACCTGCAATTTTACAGATGCTGGTGCCGTCCTTAGAAAACAGAGGTGACTGTACCTACATATCAAGCAGAGGTAGAGGACAGTGGAGCCCATAGTTTTTACCTGTAAAATATAAGGTTGGCTATGCACCTGTCTGATACAAACCAACAGGAGTTACAGCACAGCAGGGATAAAATCCTATGCCACTCGCAGCATGAGCGTCTGTGTATTGGTGGATTTGTTATGAGAAGTATGTTCCCCTTCCCACCTTTCCCTTCAGCATTTCCCCGGGTTGTTGCTAAAGTGTGGCAAAACGCCATATTTCAGATGGGCAAAGGGCTGATTGTCAGGCTTCACGCCTGTCCATTTGTGCCTCTTGGGAGCTACGGAGAAAACGGAAGCCCCTGGCAAGTCCCTGCTGAGGGATTCCCCCGCGTGTGAGAGCTGCCAGCGCCTCTGCGTCCTGCACCCCCCTCCTGCTCTCCTCCCTGGGGCTTGGAGCCCCGCTTGCCAAAGGCCCTCACTTGCCGGTTTCCCCTTCCCCCTGCAAGGCTGGGGATGGAGATAAGTGGGAGCAGGGAGGCAGGTGCCACCTTCTTGCCAGAGCCTGTGACTTTTATCTTGAGCCTCAAACCAGCCGGTCTTTTTCGGAAGCCTGTGGTGACCAGAGGGAATGAAAGGGGGCGAGGGGGGGCACAGCAACTTGCGGTGAAGGCTTAAAAAAAGCACGGATGCTGCGGGCCATGTTGGAGGCAGGGCTGCCACCCCCTGGTGCTGCTCTTGTGATGAGTTGTGTCCTGCCAGTCACAAGGGTGGGTGGACAGGGAGGCCCCTGGTGTCACGTGGGGCTCGCAAAGTGGGTGCCTCTGTGAGCCTGAACGGCAAGGGGGCTGCTGCGGGAGGGCTTGAACCGTGCACTCGGGAGCAAGGCCCCCCCGCCTGTGGTGCTTGAATAACCCTCTTCCCCTCCATGCAGCAGCTTCCCCTGCAGCAGCTCCGTATTTCCGGCCTGTCGGCAGCGGTTACTATGGGAACGGGCATCACTACAAACAGAACCGGGGCGAGCGGCGGCGGGTGAGTCAGGGAAGGGGCTGGGGGCGCTGGGGTGGGGTCCTGGGGAGAGGCCGGGGGAGAGCGGGTTGGTGGCTGGACCCTAAGGAAGTCAGGTGTGCGGAGGCCTGGCAGCGTGTGGGCTGGTTTAGGGAGCTGGAGAAGAGGCTGCGGGGGGCTGGGCTGGGCAGGACCGCCGAGGGGGCGGCTGTGGGAGCATCCCCTGGGGGCCCGGCAGAGCTGGCCAGGAGAGGGGCAGCGGAGGGGTTTCAGAGCTGGGCGTCCCAGCTCGGTTCCTGTCCTGCAGCTGGGTGGGCAGGCAACCCCCGGACCTGGGTTCTGGCGTAGGGAAGTTGCTAACGAGTTAAACCCTACTCAGTCGTGGGCCTCCCTCAAGATGACTGTGGCTTGGCTGGTGCAGAAAAATGTGCTGAGCTGGAGGAAAGCATGCTGGGTGGTGGGGGTAAAAGCAAAATGTGTTGCCCATATGTGTGTGTGTGTATGTGCCAGGTGCGTGCGTGACATACACTCCGCTCTTGGCACCTTGGCCCACTGACCCAGACCTGCACGTCCCTCCTGTGGCTCTGCCTGTAGGACTGATGCTGCGTCCATCAGGCTGCACTAAGTGACACAGGCTTGGAAATGCCTCCCAGGGGAAGAGGCCCCCGAGCCCTGACACTGCTGGAAGGGTTTTATGTTGGAATGGGCCCAAGCTAGGCCCCTCCGTTCCCATGTTGAGCCAGGTTTCTTGGCTCGGGTTGGAAGGGCCTGATACAAACAGGCTTTAAGACCTGGGTTCCAGTTGCTCGCTACATAGCATCCGTTTAGGAAATGTGCCAGGGAGGAACAGTTAAGTGCTGAGAACTGAGAGGCTGTGCTGGGCTTTTAACCCACTGACGTGTGTTTTGGAAGAACGTGTGTAGGAGCGGATGGATGATGATCCTGGCGAAACCCCGTTGAAGGGATCAGCAAGAGGAGGCACTGAAAATGGTGCAGATCCACCAGGAGCTCTGCAGGAAGAAGAAATGTCTCAGGAGGCAGAGTCACCGAAGGAGGTCACAGAAGCCTCCCTTGAGGGGACGCAAGGTGACCTGGGGCCCCTGGATGTGGTGCAGGCAGACTCTGAGGCACCTCCTGAAGAGAGCAAGCTGCACACCACGATTTCACATGTGAGTATGAATATAGCAGGCATCCACAGCAAGGTCCCTGCATCTGCTGCATGGGATGTCAGAAAAGGGTACAGGAGGCCTGAAATGGGCTCGTCACCTATAGTGCGACTTAGCACTGAAAGCAGCTTTAATAACCAGTAGGACTGCAGCGTACAAACGAGTGACAGTCCACGGCATGATAATTGGCTGGGGTGGTAGAGGGGATGATGTGGCATGGATGAGATGATTTTGCAAAGCATGTATTGAAGCCTGTGTTCATTTTAAAGGATGCTGTAGCTGACGTCCTGGAGACTCCATCCAATGAACGAGAAGAAGCCGCAGAAATACTGGAGGATGCGGATCAAGGTGAACAGCTTCCCCCAGCAGAGACTCAGCCTGAGAGCGTGGCTCCCACTGTGCTGTTGAGTCCTGTCGGCAGGGAGCAGATGTGTGATGCTGCTGAGCTCCCATCTGCGGGGAGAGCAGAAGAACCTGCAGAAACAACGGGGACATTGGAGGGTACAGGACCAGATGAAGAGCTGACTCCTGCACAGCCTCCACCAGGGAGCGAGAGGCTGACACCTCCACGCCCCACCAGCAGCGAGCAGGAAATGCAGCAGCTGGGTCAGGAAGGCCAAGAAAGTCACCAGAAAGGTCTGGGAGGCGAAGACCAGGGGAGCTCAGCGGAGCAGGAATCCCGGAGCAGTGAAGGAGGTGCTGTCATGGGCCAGGAAGAGGAGAGGGCATCAGCGGTGTCCTCGGCCACTCCAGGCTTGTTGTTTGAAGAACAGAAGTATGAGAAAACTCATCCGCTTGTGAGTATCTCACATGCAGTGCAGAGCCCTGCCACCCTCAATAGGAACACCAAGTCTGGGGATATCTGAGAGAGACTTCCCCCATTTAAATCATTTTTTAGCTTCCCGAGGGAAACGGCTTTGCCTATCAGACTGACTTTTTCAGCTGAAAGTCAGGATGCCCCTGTAAGGGGCTGAAATCCAGGTCTGAATGTTCTGCCAAAGCAGCTTGAATGGGTCAGAGGGCAGTTTGCTGTGGGGAAGGGTTTTGCTCTGGTGTGGCACCATGTGCTCCTACCCTTCACCCTAGGGGTAGCTGCATTTTGGAGGGCAGTGAGGCCACTGCAAGTGAAGCGCAGGTTGCTCCTTCAAGGTGAAAGGTGCCATCAAGGTGGAGGAGACCACTTCAGGAATGTTCTCATGCTGCCTGGCATAAATGAGCGCAACCATGTTTTTTTTTTTTTTTTACAGAGCTTGTCTTGGGTGTTCGGTTACAACAGCAAGCTCCCTGTTTACAGCCTGCTCGATGAGGAGAACAGGGTGATCCTGTACGTTTCTGCTCACACTGCTGTGATCCACGATGTTGTCAGGAATAGGCAATATCACCTGCAGGTACAGAACGCCTTTCCTTCCCCGCCCTGTCCTACAAGGGCAGGCCCTAACCCCACAAAATGATCTGCAACCAAATCCAGCAAGGGAAATGGAAGACTCCTGTACATTTTGTGTCTATGAAAACTAGCTGGTGCCAGCTGCATTTTTATTCCTCTGCCAGTCAGAAGAGCATTCATGAGTCCTACTTATAATCAACTATCTCGCTGTACTGTGGTGTTATGGTCTCATCTCACCTGATTCTTACTTACAGGGGAATATTTACAGCCTGCTTGTGTTTGTGGCTATGGAGCACCCTGCATGTTTTGGGCAGTTCTTTATGAATTCGTTATTTTCTGCCATATAACATGCCCAAATAGAACACATACTTCTATTTTTTTGGAGGCTCTAAACCCCACTCACTGTCCCATTGCAATGTGCAGTTAGGGAAGGAGCTTCCCATGGGGTCTGGAAATTTGGCAGGGGCACGGGGAAGGGAGGGAGTGGTGGCAGCATTGATGGCTATGCTCCCCCCGCCCCCAAAAAACCAAACCAAAACAACAAAAACTTCTTGACCTATAGGGAGCCCTTTTTGTTCCGCATAATGTGCACCCAATTTCCCTCAGCTAGTTCTGGCAGGAAAAGTTGTAAGTTATGTGATAAAATGCAGCATTGATAACAGTGCTCTCACTTAATGCTGATCTCTGAAACAGATCTACATTACATGGCAGCCTTGTTAAAGATGCTGTTTTGTTATTTGTTATGAACATTATGTAGTCAAGGGCCTCCATGCTTCAGGCACAACATGGTCAAGGCAGGAGTGAGGGGTTTATTGAAGGGGTAAAGAAAGGGGGAAGTGGTGCTGGCTAAGGTGGGTGTGAAGGAGTGAGACACAGGGCCTGGAGGCCTCTTCAGGTGCAGGGGAAAGCATGTGAGGTTTAATTAAACCTTCTCCTGCATCTTTCATGGCAGACTTCTTCTCACTCTGCAGGGTCACTCAAATTCTATTTCTTGTCTGTGTGTGAGTGTAGACAAGCGGTGGATTGTGACAGCTGACCAAGGACCTGACAATCTGGTTATTGTGTGGGACGCTTTCTCTGGGTAAGATCAAGCCCCTGTTTGTAAACCTTTCGATTTAGCAATTCCAGCTTCTGGTTCAAACTAAAATAACAGCATGGGCCAAGCGAGCAAGCAAGGAAAATGGACAAGGCTGCAAAGGAGCTGATGATCCTTGGGATAGGTCAAAATGCCTTCACTAAGCCTGAGATTTGCAAGCATCCTTGCCCAGGGTCAAGCTCCCAGTCCTTGGAATTGCAGAGGACTAATTTTTCCTGCTTGAATGGCCGCATGTGCACAGGAGTCTGTCTCCTGCTGATGTTGGGGAGGGTTGTTGGGATCCTATTTGAATTAGTTTATGACAATTCAGGGTTGTTTGGGTAGAATTTTTTCATTATGATGAAAAAGGGGTCCCAAAATGGCAGGCCATGGAATCTGCCTGGAGGGGGGAAAAAAAGAAAGCAAAAATGAATGCTGCAAGCTGGTGTCACTGTACTTAGCCTCTGTGCATGCTTTGCTTTGCAGGATTCCTGTGCACACTATATTCGGCCATCCAGGAGATGGGGTCAGTGCTATTGCTATTTCCCATGATGCTAAGTATTTGGCAACCATCGGTGCTGGCAGAATACAGGTAAAGGAAACGTTTTCCCTGCTGTGTCCTGCAGTGACTAAAGCCAGTGAACTGGCACTAGTGTAACTAAGACGGGGATGTGAACTGGAGATCAGCAGAACCAGGGTGGGCTCAGTTTTGCAAAACCACCTGGGCTATCGTTTCCATGAGTGCTGCCAAGTTCAGATGCAAGCTTAAGCCACAAATGGAGATGCTGTCTTTGACGCCTCTCTAACTGAATAACTTGAGTACAGCAGGAAGTCTGGTTGCTTTACGCTGCAGGCAGGAGAACAGCAGGGATTTCTTTGTTATTTTCTGTCTACATTGCTATTCTGTTTTAAGATCTGAGCAAAGAGGTAATGGGAGCTCAGCTGGAAAGGGAGTTCCCCTCAAAGACAATCTTGGTATACAGTATACATCCCACTTGGAAGCCAGGGACTATGCCAGGAGTTAGGCTAGTGGGAGACTGAACTCACTGTTGATGATGTCCCTTCCTCCTTTTTCATCGTTAGAGATCAGGAAGAGACAATCGGGCTCCTTTTCACCTGAGTCCTGAAGCCACAGGTAGTATCATAATTTCCCTCATGATTCTGCACACTCAGGCCAATCTACAGTGGTCCAAGAGTTAGTGGTTTGTACAGAGGAAGCAACAGCAAAAGTAGTTTATAACGTGTGTGAGGAGCAGAGACCCACCTCTCTCGCTTTGCAGTTCCAGGCAGTGTGTGAGCAAAGGCTGGACAATGCCGGATGTTTGCTCGTGACTTGGCCTACCCTGGGTGTGGAGCTCTGCCACTTAGTGTAAACATTTTGCTTGCCAGTGAGGCCAGGCTGGACTCAGTTTTCTTGGTTGTCCCCATGACACCCCACTGCAGGAGCTGCTGCACTGTGTATGAGCAGGATTTGGCCTCCTGAGTTGAGTAGGTTGTAGAAAGTCACCTTGGTGTAACCCTGCTCTCCCCTTTGTGTCAGAGAGCATGCGTTTGGAAGTGGACTTCGCCTGAAGAGAAACCCCAGTGTAGCATAGAGCTGGAGCCCAGATTTGGGTACCAGGTGAGTGATCTGGTAGTTAAAGGGGGTTGGCATTGTGGAACCCGTTGTAAAGTACAGAGGAGCTGGTCTCAGTTGCTCCAGTCCTGCACCTGAGGCTGGGGCAGGGTAGATGGGGACTAAGCTGGCTTTGTGTTCTGGGGCTCAGCCAGGGAGACAGCCTCATGGCTGCTGTAATTTCTACTCTGCTTCCAGTGGTTCTGGGAGGACTTGAGAACCAATGACTAGCCATAAAGCAGTACACTGCAACCACGTCTGTGACTGCCTTGTTTGCGTCTGCTGAAGGACTGTGACTGCTTGCAGCTGGGGTGACCTCTGGAACAGGTCCATTTTTCATAGTCTTCTGTGTAGGGGCCTAGTTCTGTCCACTTGACATTCAGAGAAGCAAAGGAGAACCATAGTGGAACCGGGGGTTGTGCCCCAGGTGGTGAATTCAGTGATGAGGGACATTTCAAACAAAAGCAGATAATAGTTGAAGCGTAGCAAGCTTCCCTGCCAGCGAGTTAGGGTGCTGATTTATATGAACACAATGGCCAACATGGTTTCTGACACGATTTTACCCTTTTACTTTCAGAACTACATTACTTTCAATCCAAAAGATCATGGAGAGTTTGTCAGCAACAGTAAAACTCAAGTGATATTTTATCTGTGGGTAAGTGGGAATGGTGGGGAATGATGTTCTCTAGACCTTGTAACACAAGAACAGGTGAATCCTGCCAGGAAAAAGTCAGCCCAGCACTTCATCCACAGACCTTGGACTTCAGTGTGCACTGAGCATGCGGAGGTCCTGGGAACGCTGTCTTCTCGGGAGGCAGTATGGTCTATGGAAAGGACACCTGCCTGCTCTTCCTGGTTCTGCCACTGACCTGTTGTGTGACCTTGGACAAGTCATTTCTCTTCTTCCTTCTTATATTTGTCTTGTTTGCTCCTCAGGGCAAGGGATGCTGCTCCCAATCTGCTTGCAGAGTGCCCAGCTCAAAAGGCCCCCCACCTCGGTTGGGCCTCTGAAGGCTGCTGTCATATAATAATAATAATAATCAACCTGATGCAAAGTTGGTGCCCAGATAACATGGCAATGGGCATGTTCAATAGAGCCTCTCTTTTGATTGTAGTCTGTTTTGAAAATGATTGTCTCTGAGTAACCTGCTCTCTGTGTGTCTCCTCAGGACAGTGATGGGTTGCGGTACAGTGCCCCTCTTCTAACTGACAGAGTGAGTACTGTAGATGAGCAGCAAGGTTTCCCCTGCTTTGCTTTGCTTTTGGCTGTGATGCCTGTCTGCCTCATTCAGCAAGCACAAGGTCTTGTTTGGAGTGATCTTGCTAAGTCCCAGTGCATCGCGGTGTGTCCCTGGGTCTCTAGTGTAGAGGACGTGCTGACTCATGGAGGGGATAATCCGTGGTGGGAGATGAGCTCAGGGTGGGACTCTGGAAGCCCTGGTATATTTGTGGCTGAGACCCACTGCCTTTGGCTTGCACAATAGACTTTCCTCTGCTGGTGGAGTGTCCCTGCCTTGGGACTAGACCTCAGCAGTTCCCAGCTCCCACACTTGTCTTCCAGTCACACTGCCTCACCTAGGCAGGGGCCTAGAAAACCCAGTAGCAGCTCCCCACTCAGCCAGCTGGTCAAACACTTCTCGGATGGGACCATCTGCCACTTTGGACTCTTCTTTGTGGAAGACCAATACAATTCCTCTGGCCTGGGTAGAATTTTACCCCTTGGGGGCGGTAGCAGCAGCAGAATGAAGGGGCCAAGTCCTTCAGCAGACACAAGGCATTTTGTTTCAATGAGGCCGTTTCAGAGGTTTTTTTCCTCTCGTTTTATAGTTGCTTAATATATTACCTCTCTGGAGGAGTGGGTCTGCGTACACCTTGCAGAGAACCTCATGGTTGGGGGGGGTCTATGCTTCTTTTGCAGACCTTCAACAAGGTGGTAGGACTCTTCAGTCAGTCCATTTTCCACTTTAAGAACTTGCAAGCTCTGACGGGCACTTCAGGTGGGAAGCTGGTGGTGTGGGATGCAGTCTGCCCGCCGTCCGGGCCTGCCGACTTGTCCGTCAAGCCATATAATATGAAGGCTATTAAACTGATGCACCTGCAGAAAGATGCCCTCACTGTGCTTACAGTATCTGACAGGTAACAGATTACATCCTTCCTGGTTCACCATCTTGCACTTTGCAAACCGAGCTATATAAAAGCTCGGGGGTGTGGGGGGGGTGTGGGTGTGTGCGCGCGCTTTCCACCTGGCACGTATACCGTTCCACATGTGTGTACATGAAGCCAAACTCCTTGGGCAATGGATGGGAGTGAAAGCAGACTTTCATGGACCTGCTAGAGGCTTGTTGCATGGCCACTTGCACCTGCAGAGAGCACGTGCTAAGCTCCGATGTGATTGTTCTCCGCAGGTTATTGTGTGCTGTGACTCGTTGGTGGTGAGTTTTGTGGCTTACCTCAAACAAGTGAGGGTGACGCTCGGTTTTGCAACGTACTCTCTTTTGCTTACACACATTGTAAAGTTGTTTCCGTTAGGATTGCTTTCAGTGTCAAGGCGGGATTCTCAATAGCCCTTTGTGCAGCGGCCTTGCTCTGCTCCCGACAGGGTTTTGTTCTATTGGAGCCAAGTGAGGCCGACACGGAGCACTCTTGAAAATCCCACTGAAAATGCTCCTCTGAGTACTGTTCCTCATAGCCACTCATGTGCAGAGCTAATGGGCCTTTGTAATATCGTGCTCCGTTCAGGACTGGGAGCACCATAAAACTTGTTGCTCACAACTGAACTATCTTTTATGAACATCCAAATGTTGCACTTTTAAGGAACTTGGCAGCCTGCTGGGGTTACATAAAAAGGGTTGATGGATGTCAGAGGACTTGGGCTGTTTCGCCAGCAGGGAGTGTGGTGGGAATGTAGAGAACCACGATCCCCAGTGGCTTAAAGCAGACCTTTGCAACCCCTGCAGGCAGGGAGTATTGGACCTTACCACCTTAGCAAAGCAGCAGGGAAACTGAGCCCCTTCAGAGGGGAAAGGACGGTGCTGTGTCTTGCTTAACCAATGCTGTCTGCATTTGTGAAACTCCCCAGTCCTGTGCCCCACATACAAGCACCAGGGCTCCCTAGCATCCAAGTAGGATCAGAGCAAATACGGTTTTGGCTGTTGGGTTAATTCCCTACCTTAACCAGTAGAGGGAACCAATACACACGCAACATCCATGATCTGAAGGATCCCATGGAGTAGCAGGTCGCAGCGCGTACGTTGCAGTGTAAGCCATTTATCCCAGCCCCTTGGTACGGGGCATTACTGTGCTTCCCATACAACTGTACACTTTCAAAATACTGTCCAAGCATTAACTGCCCTTCACTCACTGCCTTTCCCAGGAGCACTGTGAAGTGCCGTGACCCTCACGTTACAGATGAGGGGAGCGAGACATGGAATGCTTAAGTGACTTGCCCAGGGTTGCACAGTGAGTCGGTGGCAGGCTCAGGAGCAGGACTTGGGAACTCTTGGCTCCTAGTCCCAAGCTTAAACCTCTAGACAGTGTCGTCTCCTGGGGAGCTAAGCACGTGTTTTGCTTTTGCGCAGCAACTAGAGCATCTTCAGATGGTAATTCAGTGTTGTGAGGCTTTGTCCAGAGGTTTAAGTAACAGTCTGGAGATCAAGACTCCTGGGTTCTGTGCATTTGTGGATTCATGATTTATAGATGCCAGGGAGGAAGAGGGGATATAGATCATTCTAGATATACCCTGTTTGCATGCTCTGTCTTTAACGCATCTACTTCTGCCACTGCTGGAGACGTGATACTGGGTTAGATGGACCATTGGTCTGGCCCAATAGGGCACTTTTTATACACTGCATTTTATTAGTTCTTGCTAATACACTGCATTATTCCCACTTCTTGGAGCTTCAGTTTTCTTCTGTGTGATGTGGACCTGACATTGCCTATCCAGCAGCAGGGCTCGCGACAAAAGGTCTGATTCTGAACACCAGGTTTCCATTAAAGTCATTCTGTTGTCTTCAGTGGGGATAGCCCTGAGTTACATCAGGGGAAGTGAGAGCAGGATCAGGTTGTGAGTCTTGAAGTAACTGAGGATGGGGCCCCCTGAAGCCTGCTCCCTCGTAATATGCCCTAGGACCACAGAACATCAGCTTGCCTGGAACTCTCTTAAAAATGCTTTCCGTAATAGACCCATGTTCTTCCTTTCAGCTATTTTGTAATGTGTGATGTCAAAGGTCACATCAAATTCTATGACGGCCAGCTGCAGCTCGTGAACTGGTACAGCCACTTCAACCTGGGGCCCATCTACTCCATTTCCTTTTCCAAAAGCCCTCCTGATCCCGGTAGCTGCCGCTCAAACTACTCCAGTTCTTGCACCATAGGTGGCCAGCCCTTTATTGTCAGGTGAGCATCCTCCTGAGACTGAGCTAACCCACTGCCTGGCGCAGAACTGTTGAAATGAGTTAGTGGCTGACAGGCTTTCCTGCTGTGTTTCTGCCTGGAAGTCGAGCCTGGAGACCTGGGTGTGAAGCTGCGGCTGTTGAGCCTCCTGTCTGCTGCAGCGTCTTGGCCCTGGCGGCCCCTTCGGGAAATGTGCAAGGGTGGCAAAGCACAGGGAAGCCTCACACTGGCTCCTGCTGCCAGACTCCCAGTAGCAGTGGAGATCTCGGCTGGGGACAGTGGTTCTGCCTAGCCAGGAACTGCGGCATCTGCTTTGGTCAGGCAGGATATGGCTTCTCCCTCCCTCCTCCCTGGCTGTCTGCGGCAAATGCAGGAAACCAATCTCTCCTGCCTCCAGCCCCGCCGCGTCACAGCAGGCAGCATCTGGTACTTGCTTACAAAAGAGGGAGAGCGAGGAGGTTTGGGCTGAGCACAGGACTGAGAGCAAGGAGCCCCTGGGTTCTGTTGCCAGAGCTTCTCTAACAGCCACGGTGGCTTTGGGTGTGAGCTAGTAGGTGACCACGCCAGGAGTCGCGCTCGTGTCGGCCACTAACTGGGGTGGGGGCTGGGACTCGGTACTACTCGGACTGTGTATAGTAGCAGTACTGAGACCTGAGTAAAGATCTCAGAATTTGTCCCTTTAATTGAAACCAGCGCCTCCCTTGTAGGTCAGCTGATGACCTCTGACCCATAACAGTTTGGTGACATACCTGTCCCATAGTCTGGTTTGTGTGCTATTCACCTGGTACACAGGGAAACTGCATTATACGCACTGCTGAGTGAATGGATGAGCAGCTGTTCTTGTGCAGGGCGAGACTAGCTGTTCACGCAGTTATCAGGAAGGAAGACGCACTCTTTCTAGTCTGCACCTGTGCAATTTGGCAAGCGGCTTCTCTCACTTCATGCCAAACAGGAATTTTATCCTCTCCACGTTGGATGCGACCGTGCTGCATGTTACGCCAGAGGGAACCAAGCTGGAGAAACTGTTGGAGGAGGCCAAGGAAGCTGTTAATGCCATCTCTTGCCATCCTACCCAGCCGCTTCTTGCCATAGGCAGTCACTGTGGGCTGCTGAAGGTGTGGGACTACCAGCAAACCCAGTACCTCACTAGCAGAATATTTACTGGGGCCAGCATCCAGTGTCTGTCCTATGACCCAGAAGGTATTTTTATCTTGATGTCTTGCTACGCGTTAAGCCTCAGGCTTGTTGAGATGACTGAACCACAGAGTAATGATTCTCTGGTGCATGTTTTAGGTTCTTCCCTGGCGGCTGGTTTTACTGACGGAAGCCTTCGCATCCTTGATAGTATTTCTCTGGACGATGACTGTAAAGAGTTCAAGTACTCAAGAGGCTCGCTGACTCATCTTTGCTTCTCCCACAACTCTCAGTATCTTGCTACTGCTGTAAGTTTCTCTTTTGATATATGGCTCTTGTCCTTGTAATGTCTTCTGGTGGGACTGGAGCTTTCGGACCATCCCATAGTGTAATTCTGAGAGGACAGCTGGGCCAGCGGCTCACAAGCAGGTTAAATAGATGCTTGGCTAAGATGATTTAAGCAGGGAAGATCGTGTCTTGAGCAGGGGTCTGGACTAGATGACTTCGAGAGATCCCTTCCACCCCTACTTTCCTGTGATCCTATGCCTTTGGAAGGGTTTCCTTCTCTAAGAGCTGTTTTGCTCAGAGGACCAACTATGTTCAAATGGCACCACCCTCCTTAAGAGACCTGCGCCCTGTATCTGGTCAGAGCCTTATCTCCTGACTCCAGTGACAAAAGCACTTTTTGACTGTTCTCCACTCCTGTGATCCCTGCAGAACTGGCTTTGGGAGAGTGAGGAGTCTGTTCTGGCTTTAATCACCATCAGGTGAATTAACCTGGTTCCTCATGTCAGTGTAATGGAGGGCAGTGTTTAAAGGCGCCAGGGCTGCTTTGGGCTTGTAGAATCGTAATTATTGGTAACAATCCATGAGTAAGAAAGACCCTACACACACGGTCATTGGGTGCTCAGATCCACTGGGGGCTGGAAGTCCTGAAAAGCATGGTTTTGACTTCTGTTTTATAACTGCAAGTTGATCATATTTGCTCTAGAGTCATTGAGGCAAGGTGAGTCTCCAGGGTTCAGTGTTAGCAGTCCCTCTGCACAGCAGAAGCCTGTATTTATATATCGCAGACTGGTCGGTGGCTTTGCTCAGAGCAAGGCTGAACTTCGTGTTTGTTACTTGTTAATCACGGCATGTGTGAGTCCTGTTCAGATTCTTTCTGCTTGATCACATGTTTTATCATGATTGCCATTCTGCTCCTTTCCTCTTTTGTGGCTATCTTAGCATGCAGCTAAAAAGGCAGAAAGGTTGGTGTGATGGGCAGACAGCCGGGGACCTGATGGGCGCACCTTCTGTGTGACACTGAGATGCTTTTGTTGTTGTTGCAGGATGAAAAATTCTCAGTGACTGTTTACAAAGTAACCCTGAGAAATGGCAGAAAGTCCTGGGAACATCTTGCAGGGCTTCACGCGCACTATAAGACGATTCGAAGTGTAATATTTGGTGTCCAGTTGGACAGCAATGAACCCAGGCTCTTAAGCCTTGGGGAGGACAGACTGTTGGTAAGACATTAACCTGAAAGACAGCAGAGTGTACTGATTAGTGCAGAGGCTCTGGAGGGAAGGACTCCTGGATCACATTCCCAGCCTGGACACAACATTTGATCTCGGGCAGATGGCATTATCCCCTCTGTGTCTTTGATTACCCAGTGCTGAGGGGGCCTCAGAAATGCTTCTCCATCTCACATTTGGGAGCTGCTCCACCACTCTTGTTGGCCATGAGTGGATCTGTCCCTTTCCATGTCTGGAGGTCACAGCTTGGTGCTTGACTTTGCATCCTGTGCTAATTTTTTTTGGCCAGGTAGAGCCTCCCTTTGACAGTCGAAACACTTTCCAAGGCCTGCCTGTTTGCTCGGAGTCTAACCCTGTCCCTGTGCTCCATACTAGTCTTCCTTGGGGAAGCGATGTTATGTGCTGGGCTCGGACATATCTCCTCCCTGCCACTGTAGAGCAGCAGCAAAGGGTGTAACAGATCCAATCTGCTGCTCTTCCATGCTCCACAGGAGACTGTTACCAGTAGATGTGTGTTGCAGCCCAGCCCCCCAAAGCCTAGTGCATAGGAACATCGAAGGGGTCCCTGTGGTGTGAAGAGTCCCACACCCCAGCGTAGGCTTCCAGATCCTTCCCACTTGCCCTTGCAGTACAGGCCCCCCCTTTCCACTGCAGGGTATTTCTTCCTCCAGATCTGGCCTGTCAAGGTGACCAACTCAAGGATTCAGCATGTTGGGGTGTGTGTGGCAGGAGCTGAGTCTCTTGGGGTTCCTGGGTGGGCATTGCATTAGCTTAGAGAGTTTGAATCCATATGATGTGTAATAATTATGAAGGTGCAGGTGGGGGTTGCATCACAGCAGATTGCAGGGCTGCTGCAAGGGTTAAAGCATTAGCATTTTTAAAGCAGAATGTGCTGGAGAGGCAGAAACAGCTGAATGCGAACAGGCCTGGGCTGCCCTCTCACAGATGCTGTCATGTGTTGTCTCCCCATCAGGTGGAATATGATCTGGGCAGCAGCAGCAAAGATCAGCTGGCGATCCTGCGAAGGGACCGCATCGAGCAGTGCGCCATCCCCTTGTCTCTGGCCTGGTACCCGCCCTTCACGACGGAGTCCTTCATCCTCACGACTAACAATCAGTACAAAATGAAGCTCTATAATGCAACGACCAAAATGTGCAGGTACCTGGGAGAACTCTGCCCTCACTGAATTTTCGCACTCAGAGGTCATTCTCTCTGCCTCCCCACTTCCTCTCTTGGGGGACGCCAAGTATTAGGGGACTCTGCTGAAAAGGTTGAGCTAAGAGCTCTGGAGTCTGTGGGCTGCATGCAAGCCACCACCAGATCCCACTTTCTAGAGAGGAGGAAAACAGTGAACACCGTAGCATCCCACATAGTGTTCCCCCATAACTGTTTGTGTTATTGTGCAGCTGCATGTCTGCCTCCAGCGTGCTTTTACTAGCAGTAAAGTCACGCCTTCGGCCTCACACGTGCAGTTCCATACCAGCGCACAGAAGCATTGTAGAGGAAAAATGCATCACGGTCCATAGAGCAACTGAAAATGTTGTATTTTGCTTTAGAAAGACGCATCTGGGACCAACCTATGGTTCCCCTCTTGAGAAGATACAGATCCTTCCAGTAACAAAAAGTCAGGATCCTCAGAAGCGATACCTGGCCTATATTGCAAAAGATAAGGTATGGAGTCCCTGTATGTCCGGTCAGATGTCTCTGTTGAAGTGTTTAGCAGTGACATTGCATGCTGCCCCATCCTGCAGTTACCACATCTTTCCTAACTTTCTCTCCAGGTGGGTCTGCAGATTTTGCCTATGGATGGTAACCCGCACAAGTCCTCAGCTTTCATCTGCCACCCAGGAGGTGTCTCCAACCTTGCTAGTTCCTATGATGGATGCTATGTCTTTACAGCTGGGGGTAATGACCGCACCGTGATGAAGTGGGAAATTAATTTGAAGTAAGTAAAAGCTGAGAGAAGCAGCACGCCGTGGTGTGCGCTTTACACATCTGTGCAATCAACACAGCTAAAGAAAACATTCTCCTGGCAGTGAATGTAAGCCCATAAAGGGATTTTCATTCTCAAGGATCCCATTCCACCTCAGAAAAACTTCCAGTTCAGACCCTGGCTATTTGTAGTTATTCAGGGCAAGAGTGTTAATAGCAGTAGCCTGACTAATCCCCCTGGTTGTATAAGCGCTCTTTCTTGCAAGCCCTCTTATTACATAGCACTGACATTGCAGAATTGCTGCTGCATCCCACACTGCAGGTGCCTGTGTTCAAGAGACTTGATGTAAAATGGCACAGCACTGGTTTGCGAGAAGGGTTATGGTTAAAACAGGGAGGGAGAATGTCCAGAAATGCTTTGGGCACATAACAGGGGCTTGATTTTTATTTTTGTATTATGATTTTTTTTCCCCCAAACGTGCTTTGCTCCCATGAGGCACCTCAGTGAAGTGACCAGATTCACAGTATGAGCCACCGGGTGCTGAACTCACTGAACTTTGCTTTATCATGAAATCTCTTGGGAATTGCAACTGTGAGAGGGCTGATGCCTGGCAGTGCAGAAGCCTGGAAAGTAAAGACACTGAACGCCTGTAACACAGTGTTGCAGGCTGGGGTGGTGATTAATACATCGGTGTGTATAAAACCCTTCATATGGGAGAGAGGCTGTGTCAGTACTTTGGAGAACCCTTCCTGCTGGTCCGTAGAGGGGGGAATCTTAAAACCAGGCAGTGGGAGTGGGGGGTTCGGGAAGGAAGGTGGTTTCTGGAGGAAAGTGGCACCTCCTTTGAAGTAGCTGCAGGACAGAGACACTGGAACAGCACAGATATAATGCACCGTGCCTTCAGCTGGGAGAAACAGCATGTTCCTGGGAAGTCCCCACTATGTTGAAAGAGAGGATTTAGCAGCCATAATCCTGCAGGCTCCCCCCTCCCTCATGAGCAGACACACTGAGGTCATCGGGACTGCTCGCGTCTGTGAGGAACGCTTTGTGAGAGCAAGGCTTTGCAGCCTCAGTCCCTGACTGCAGCAGGGCATTGAACGCCATCCCTGTCTGCATGCCCCTTCGGTGCTGCCTTGGCTCAGGCGCCTGGAATTTCCCTTTGCAGGCTTCCCACTGAAGGGCTGTGCCACGTCGGTGTCCAGGGCCTGGAGGGAGAGGCCTGGTTATACTGCTTGCTTGGTAAAGGTGACACACACAGAGGAGAGGTTTCAGAGGCTGAAGCCATTCATTGCAGCGGGGGTGTCAGGGCAGGAAGGATCTCCAGTACCAGTCTGGCAGCAGGTGGGTGGAGAGAGGTGCTCATACGTCCAGCACTACCTGCAACTGGGGAGCCTATCCTACACGGCAGAGCAACCTCAGGCTTAAAAAAGAAGGGGATGGAGCTTCCTGCTGTGCAAGCTGGAATTGAATGGCTGTGGGGTGTGCATGTCTCTTTTTTTGTAGCGCCTGTTGTCCCTCCGCATCTAAAATGGGAATGTATTCTCCTGTCTGCTGTGATAACTCAGCCCTGCTGAGCATTGCTTTTCTCTCCGGCTAGATTCTTTTTTTCTCTGCCCCCCCCCCCTTTGGAGTGCAAGGAATGGTGTGAATTTACAAAATTAAGAGCTCTCCTCCTCCAACTCCTCCCCCAGCAGAGAGGCTTTACTCCTCTGACACATGTACCTTGCAAATCACTGAGTTGCAACATTGCTCACTTCGACTATGGCAGGTCCTGATGCTTCCCTGGTGATGGCCCTGCAAAAGTGCGGTGCTAACGTTCGTTGAACCCGAGTGCCAGAGCACAGGAGATCTGACTGGGGAAGCAGTGCTTTTGTTTATTTGTGTTTCCCACTTCATGTGCCAGTCAGCTGGGGGGGGTGGTGTCAGAAAGGACGACATTTTAACGAAGGGGATAGAATATAAATGATCCTTTTTTATAAAGGTTGGCCAGCGTCCAGGCAACATTGAATTTCTTTGTAATTTGTTTTTGGAGCAAAGCTCTTTACGAGCTAATTATCACATTATTGCTGTTTCTGGCATCTGTGGTGTCTCCGCTATGTTTAGTGTCCAAATAACTTAATTATAAAAGCTTGTCAAAAGCGCAGTGAGCAGTGCAACAAAGGTGCGGGGCACAGCTGGTTGTTATGCGTGGGGCCACGCGCACGGGTGTTACCAGTGTGGTGGCAGCACCCAGCTCTGTGTTTTGTTCCGTTTTCACTGTGGGAGCTGCTGCTTTTTTGCATCCTCACTGACCCACGTGGCTCTTCTGGCTCCAGCTGCCTGCAACACTGAAATGTTGAGCAGAGATGATAGCGCTCGAGCATTTTTAGCATATGTCTGCCAGATGTGGGCCACTGTCATTTGCTGGAGGGAACACAGAGCCTGGGTAACTGATATCGGTGACTAACAGGGAGGGAGCGTGTGGAATGGTTAGAGCAAGGGAACACAAGGCGAAAGTGTGTGTGTTCTGCCGTGAGCTCAGCACCTGAGCCCTTCACGTGTTCAAAATGCTGCCCTGACATTAGCTACCATCTCTGGGAGGTAGCACGGTTAAATACCAAACAATGAGGCTTCAGCGAGTCAGCGGTGAAGCCAGGATTAAAATCCAGGAGCTCCTGGCTCCCAGCCCTGTGCTCATTCCTGTAGGTTTAGAGGACTAGTTAATAATCATTACTTTCCTGGGTATGTAAAATATCGTGGAGACCCTTGGATGAGAAGTGCTGATGCAGCGCGGGCTGGTGATGGAGGAGCACCTGGCTCAGGGCAAAACCGCCTCTCCTGTTTGCTCGGAGGTGGGCAGATCTGACTGACTTGGCAGTTGTAATGGGCAGAGCGGGGAGAATGACATCCCTCCTTACACAAATGCATTCAAAGCTCTCCCTCTTTTCTCATCCCAGTGCTTTGGAGGCTGCTGTTTCCCTGGGTGGTGAGGATTTGATCCCATTCTACAACCTGCTGGATGGTGGCAGAGATGGCGAATTCTTCAGGGTAATTTAAACTCGCAACAAACGTTATGTGGTAACATCTGGTTAAGATTTTAGATTTAATTCATAGCAGTCTGGCAATTTTTTTGTGTCCAAATCTGCTTTAACAACAATCTCATTGATATTCCTGTTAGTAAATCTTAAAAGAAGCTTATCTTCTGTGCCTATTGGGTAACTGCTCTTTACTTTATTTCACTTAATTCCTTCTCAGGAGCTGGAGGACTATTTTTACTATGCACAGCTGCGGAGCCAGGGCATTGATACAATGGAGACCAGACAGGTGTCAACTCACATTCCCTTGGAGGAAGTTCCTTTTGTAATGCGAGCAATGGGGTATTATCCATCAGAGGAAAAGGTTTGTGTGGCTTTGTTATAGAGCATGGTTATGTTTACGGAGTATGTGTGCCGGCAGATCCCAATTTCTGGACTTAAGCTGTTCAGTCTGGACACAGGGTGCTATGACTGTGGTAAGAATTTGGCTCTTTACTTTGCCCTATGCATTTTTTTTTTTTAAATACTCCTTGGGAACTGGGTGGCTCCAGGAACTTGAGATCAATCCTGTCCAGGTCAGGAGAGCTCACAGGTTTTCCTCTGATAGCTGAGCAGTGGCCTAGGTCTAGTTCCCAGTGGAATAAATATTGAAGCACAAAAATCATCCACAGAGGAAACGTTCTGTGCTTTGGAAGGAACTGGGAGGGCATGGAGAATGATTTGAGACCCACCTGGAGTGTCATCTGCTGGTGTTTAGCCATAAACAAAGAGGATCTGAAACTCCTGGCTCTTTATACCATGCTTGAAAACCTCTTGCTCACCCCTTTGTGCCTTGCAATGACACTGAGAATAATCTTATGTGAATAAAGCACCTATAGCTGTGTATGTTGCTGTGTTGCTAGATATTTTCCTTGGCTCATCGTGGGGGAGGAAGGAATGTATTCTTCTAAAGCGTGGTGGCTTCAGGAAGCCTGAGGAGTATTTCTTAAGAAGGTGTAACAGTAATACATTTCAGAGCAGCATCTCAGTCAAGAAAGCAGACACTAAACCGCCTTGAAACTAGGCAACCTCCAATCCATTGCACAAAGCAGATGGGACAAATATAAAAGCACAGAGAGATCATCTGTCTCCAGAGCATTTTCATAAAGAAAAAGCAGAAGGGGAAAAAAAATCAGCATGGGCCCACTAACAGGGCTTCTGGGAATTGGTGCTTTTCTTTTGTGCTTTGCTCAGGCTGGTATGAAACTGAAGCCCAGACCAGCTCACGGTGAATTCAAGTTGCTGTTTTTGCCCGGCACATTCATAGGAGGAATATAAGTCCATATTTCCATCTTCCCTGGGCCCCATTCAGTGGAAAAACTTGTAACATGAGGACAAAGGCCCAGGGCTGAATGCAAAAGCTTCCCCAGGGAGCTCTTGCGTCAGCGTCCCTTCCTGGAGAGTAGAATGCTTGGTACGTGTTGGCACTGGGAATTGTCCCAGCGTTTAGCTCTGCTTGTCTCTGCAAGGAGGCTGGCTCTTCAAGCGGAGCACAAAGAAGGCATGGAACAGAACCTGCCTTTTGAGCAAACATCTGCAAGGCTGTGTGCTGCTCTGACACAGTGCCAGGTTTCAGGGAGACTGCTAGTGACAAGGACAGGCCTGGACTGCCTGACTGCCCAATAGAAGAGCTTCTTTATGAGTGATGCAGGGGAATAAAGGGCAGGATGTGGGACCCTTTGAGCAAATTCCAACTCTGTCTTCTGCAGTTGCAGAGGGCCCCAGAGGCAGTTCAGCTCCGGATGTGTGCGCGCTGGGAGTGGGGGCAGGGAGAAGAGGCTTTCTGAAGCTCATCCAGGGTGTGCACATCATGTAGCCCAGCTGTAGAGAGAAGAGTCCTAGACACAGTTGTGTTGTGGGGTGGATTCACTGCTTTATGCATTGACTGCCTGCAATCCCCTGACTGGAGATGCAGCTGCAAGGGAGGGTTGCAGGAGCAGCCACGGGGTACTGCACCTCTGCGTGGCATGGCCAGATTGATTCCCACCCCCCATCTCGTTTTGATTTCTCGACATATTTCACAACCAAAGATTTCCCCAGTATATTGCACGCCAGGCAAAATGCTTTCCTGAGAGGAGAAAGACCCTGGAGTATTGCAGGAGTTGTACTGCTGGAGTGGATGTAATTGTGATTGTAATAAACAACAACTGCTCTAAAGTGACATGGTCAGCTAATCTGAGGCTGGATTCTAATCATAGTGATACTTGCGCAAACCCCGAGTAACTCAGCTGGCTCCCGTGGAAGAGTCTGGATTTGTTCTGGCATCGCTGAGATCAGAAGCTAGCCTCGTACTTTAAAATAAAAGAAACATTTTTATAGCAGTCTCTCTTGCCTTGACTTTTAGATTGAAGATATAATAAATGAAGTAAAATTCACTGAGTATGTAGCTACTGGGAAGCAGGTTACCAAAATCAATTTGGGAGATTTTATCAAACTCTACATAAATCATCGACCAGCATTTGGCTTGTCAGTTAAAGAAATACAAAGTGCCTTTCAAGTTCTTGGCTATGAAAATGAGAACGGAGAAAAAGTTATTAAGAGAGGAGACTTGCTACAGCTGCTTCAGTGTAGAGGTGAGCAATTATTTTTCCTGACATTAGCATGAGGTTTGCTGGTTCTGTCCCCCATTTCAAAAGTATCAATGCCAGAAAATAAAGTGAGTCAGAGACCTAGCTCTGTCCCTAAGGTGTTACCCCATCTGTCTCAAAACTTAACATTAAATAATTAAACACATTGTAGTCTCCTCTTTGGAAATCACTGCAAGCTTGAAGCACCCCCACTGCTGCATGGAGAGTTCCAGACCTTGAAAATTATTAAAGTGACATTTTATACATTGATACACTGTCCAAGAAATCAGTAGTAGGAATTGAAAGGGAATCCAGAGGTGAGTGAGGAAAGCAATTAGAGGCCTGGAATGAACTCTACAAAGCGGTACTGTTTGGCTTAAAAATCACATGAATGAAAGGGACTTGAACAAAGGTACTGAACATTGAGTGATCCCAACCTTGAGAAGGTAAATACTGGTAAGGTACTTCTACTTCCATTTTTTTATTATAAGAAGTTGGACGTTCAATTAAGTTTAAAGGCAGCAAGCTTAAAAACACGCAAAGAAATATTGTTTATTCAGCAACAAATCAATCTGTGAAGCCCATTGTCACAAGGCTTCATCGAGGTGAAGGGCTTCTTTACAGAAGGATGTTGACAAGAACTAGACATTGATACGAATGGTGATAACATCCACAAGTAGATATACAAAGCAGGATAAAACATTTGTGTAAGAGAGAGAAACACTTGTGCTTTAGGACAAAAGCTGACCATTAACTGGGTTGGGTTAGGAATACATTGTTCTGTGCAGGTTATTCCATATGAGCTGGCCAAAGAGTTTCTTGCTCCTGCTGTGAATGGCTGTGGCACAGGCCAGTGTCACACACAGAGTACTGGACTGCATGGGCTACTGGGATTTCCTTTGAAAAGGAAATTGCAAAATGACTTCAACAAACCAGTTCCAGTAGAGCCCCTCCCCTGCTCCCCCCCAGATATGAGACACTTTTATAGTGCACAAGAACAATTTTCTCTGGGATTAAATTTCTTCCATGAGGATCATTCAGTATGAGTGGTGCTGGCAGCACCTTGAAGGAGCCCCATGACTTTTTCAAACCATGTTACTTTGGCTTCCCACTATTGCTCCAGATGTGGGTTAGGTTTGCATGAAAGATATTGAAATCTTAATAAGAGATTGTTTTCATTTTACTGTATGCAGGGGAGCACATGACAGAGGAGGAACTGGCAGAGTGTCTTTCCACCCTGCTGGGCATGAATCCTGAGGGAGGAACATCTGAGCTAGGTACTTGTGATCCCACAGGTAAACATTTAATATTCTGCAAAGCACAGAAGTTAAATTTCTTTAGCTCCTTTAACACAATAATGCAACTTGCAAACCCTATCGCCCTCTGTCCAACAGCTGTCAAAAATGTGCATTTGAGATTGCAAATGCAGAGTGCACAGATCAAAGATAGTGCATAGCCCTAACTTCTGTGGGTATTGGATATTCATGCCCAGTCTATGAATCAAGCGTGCCAATGTGTAACAGTCTAAAATAGCATCCAGTGAGAGTTTTCTGCAAAGGATCTCTGCCTGCTGAAGGTGCTTTTAGAAGGAACTGCTTAGTGGCATAAGCCCCAGCCTTGATTAAAATAAAATCAGAGTAGGGTAGAAATACCACTGTTTCATTCTGAGGTAGGTCCATTAGCTGCCACACAATTTTCTAGATGTGGGGCTTGCAGATGAGACTTTGCTAACCAAAGACCAGTATATTCTGCACATCCCATGCTGCCTTTGTAAGAATTAAAGCTTAAATCTGTTCTTTTCCCCCTACATTACTTGAAACAGGAAGTTGCTTTAGTCTTTAAAGCAAATGACTACAGTTTTCTGAAATCTGAATAACCGTATCTGAGATTGAGCACATTAATAATGACATTAGAACCATTTTAAAGGAATTCACGGACAAGGAATGAAAATAACCTCATCGTGATTCACATGGTCAGAACTGGAAGAGACCAATTGCAGTGCTGTAGATCACTTAGTCTATGTCTAGTCCTCAGTGGCTGTAGGGAATGTGCTGCATCTTATAGAATCAGGCCCTTTTCTTCTCCTCACAGGAGATGTATCACTTCAACACTTAACACTATTTAAGATCCCTTTAGTATACCTTTGTAGACATTCGACTCCCAAACTACTGGTTACCAGTGTTATTGATCAGGAAACTTGATTGTTTTGTTGGGGGGGTGTTTGGCTTTTTTTTCCCCTCTAGGTGCAGCAGGTTTGATTGAAGAAGAAATTCCAGAGGAAATCACAGCAGAGATATTCACTGCTGACATTCTTGGCTTACCTATTCCTGAACCAGAAAAAAACGAACTAGAAAAAACAAATGAACGCATTAGCAGTGAAAGGTCTGGAAAGGTATAATTGCCAAGGCATTTGTAGTTTCCTTGTATTTTTTTAAAGAAATAAAGAGAATTTCAGGTGTATGGAATTCCAGGGGATCGTATCAGTTCAGTGTTATCAAGAGATTAGAAATACTCCCAAAGACTGGCCAAACAGCACTGCGGCTTGGGTGGGTGATCAAGAGGAAGTGGCTTGCTCCATGTGCAGGGACAGGAAACCCTTTGGCGGATCAGTAAATGCCCTGAAAGATGCAAAATCAGGAAGGGTTAAATGAACTTGCAGCTAATGCCAGCATCATAGCTTCCATTGCTGGTGCCTCTCCAAGGGGTAATGCTGCAGTCCTGCTCCCAGACCATCCAGGCCTGTTAGAGATGCATCGGTTTCAGGGAGAAGGAAACCTGAACTGCTGTAGTTGCTTTATGCCATTAATGATCCTCCTTCCCAAGGGGGTTCTTCCTGTGCCTGGTAATGCTGGTGTCAAGGCAGGTTTACATCAGGGCTCAGTGCAAAGCTGCGGTAATGTATTCCAGTCTCAGCACGTTAAAGTTTGTTCACAAAAAACAGACAGTCAAACAGCAATTAATAAGTACAGTATCTGATGATATGCATTGATAAGTGCGGTATATGTTATGCCCGGATGGTTAATTAGACGCAGATCCAACAAATCTCGGTCAAAGGAAGCGCATTCTATTTAGGGATGGAGATTAAAAATTGAGTTTCCTTTTTTTGCTCCTTCTATTTTGTTTTTCTCTCTGGAAGTGTTAATTCTAATTAGCCGTGTAATACCAATGGGACAGCATCTTACTCGGTGTGTGTATATAAACAGCATAATGAAGCTGATGCAAGTTGCTGTAGAAAGATTCAGTGAAGAGCTGTTGAGCACATTTCCTTCTTTACATCATCCTCGACATCAATTTGAATAATAATGTAGACCCTTGTGAAGTGTTCCTTTCAGCCGCGATGCTTGTAGGATGGAGATTAGCATTGGATCGAGCAGAAAGAGCAGGATATAAAGGGTGTCGTTTGCTTTCCAGCCGCCGTGCAACGAAGGGTCCGATAGTGCTGGGATGTGATACTAAAGAGGCATCACTTTGCATGAGTCCCCCCCAACCCTCTTTACTGATGTCTGCCCCCCTTTCATGGATGCTATTGATGTCTCCCCCCTTTATTGATGTCTTCCCCCCTTTATCGATGCCTAAATGGATAAATGATGCTATCAATGCACATATGCATAAGCATCTCTCTCTATGCCTCGTGTCAGGTCCTCGGTGGCTCTAACTCGGCGCAAGTCCGCCGTCTCCCCGGTGTCAAGCTGTGGCTCTGGCTGAGCACTCATCGCAAAGTCTCTGCTGGGGCGTGCGCCGCACTTTCGGTCGCACACCGCAGGCCCTCGCCCTCCATGGCCAGTCCTGCCGCACAAGCACTGCCACTGCACTGGGGCGATAAGCGCGGAGGTCGGGGCCGAGCGCGGACCCCCGCGTCGCGGTGCGAGGGTCGGGGCGCAGGCCTGGTGAGGGGCAGGGGCCTCCTCAGGCCTGGCAGGTGCCCGTGTTTCGGGGCGAGGGGGTCGGGCTTCAGGCCCAGGCCCAGGCCCAGCTGGTTGCCCCGCGGCCTGAGGCGCGGCGCGGTGCGAGCGGGACCCCCCGCCCGGCGGCAGGCCGCGGAG